CAGCGACCCGCTTCCCACTACTTTATGTTTTTTCGCGTGCCGAATTCTTTAGCATAGAAATGGGTTTCACCGGTGGGTACGGGTTAGGCAGCCGGCCGGATAACACGTTAGAATTCCTAACGAAGCACCGACAGAACGGCTCAACCCTTCCGAGACCAAAATTTGTAAACGAAACGAGAGGAAACAGTAAATCCGTAGTGGATCTGACGATCAATGACCGCGGCACCGCCCTACTGAATATTCATACACGGTCGCCCGATAATAGGACCGATACCTGTATCCATAATCACTGTTTATTTTCCTGAAATCGTTCGACGTGACGTCATTAACCTTGTTTATTCAGCCTTCATCGAAATAACAATCTTTCGCAATCGATACTCCGAAATCCTCGTCCCATTTCTGAAAATGATTAACTTACACCCCAATTTCTTAACTATCGTTAAAAACGGATCTCTGTCTTTAGGAATAAACTATAGCTACATCAAGATCGAAAGACAACGTAACAAAACAGCCAAGTAATCTTCACCCTTTCCCCAGCAACGCGAAACTCTGATTTCGTTTCATCCCCTGAAATTCTCGAGATCCGAGTGTCCAGTAGAAGAGGATCGGCCTTCGAGCGTGAAAAGTTCCACGCAAGGTGCACCGGGTGATTTCTCGTTCTCCCGTTGCTCGGGTCTCGGCTATTTGTTTCGCGGAAACGAAGAAAACGCGGCGGCCTTCCGGATTCACCCCTTTCCTGGCCGGAGGCGGCGTCGGCGTGCAGCACGTGCCCAGAAAGAGACCCAAAGCCCACGGCCGGGATATTAAGTATTCCGCTCGCATTACCTCCCGCTGAACAGAAAGTTACACACGCCTCGTTATGCGGCCAGAAGCGGCACCGGCGGCGTTGTGCAAACTTAATTAGCAACTCGGCCAGCGGACATCGGGAAAAAGGAGACACGCTTCGGAGAAGCCGATGATTTATCTCGCGGCCCCTCGAGCCTGGAATCTCGTCCGTTTCGTTTCGTGCCCCAAGTCCTCCACCCTTCTCTCGGCAAGAAACGAGCCACCATTCTAACTACACGGCGCATACGCGACGCGACGCGACGCGACTGGACGCCATTCGAACGAAATTTTCGTCGTGAACGGTTTATTTGAATTATCCACGCGGTTCCCGAGTTTACCTGGACGCAACACGTATAAACGGCGCGCACGGTTTTAATTGCAGAGTAGCTGGATACCGTGTAAATGGAACGATCAACCACGATGAAACGTTCCCGGGACGAGCTAACGCATTGTCAAAGAATACGCTCGCTCGATGATTAATTGCTACGCAGCTGATTCACTGGTTGAACGTTTGTTTCGTTGCATTGCGATGCCTCGTAGGATGCGGTTAAAGCGTTATGGGTTTTATTTCATGTTTTCTTTCAGGGTTTCCAATCAGTTATTCTCATTTCAATAATTTCATTCTCTAAACACTGTGTATTCGTTTTATTAATATCCTGATCTTCGATCTTGCTTTACTCAGATTTTCACAATTAATCATTCATAGATTAATATCAGAAATCATGACACCACTACGATATACGGTAGACCTAAATTACGAGACTATCGATCACTCCAATTAATCATAATACGCTTCTACCTTCGGAGGCCCGTGCCTTTTTCGTTTTATACTGTCTCCCCTCGCGCCTCATTATGTCTCATTGATTCATTCTCCGCCGTTAACGTTGTCAACATGGCGGCGGTTACGCAAGATCGAGAGCGAGTCGAAATTTCGAGCGTGCGTGCGTGCGTGCCGTACGCGTGTGGATGGGTCAGATCGGGACCCCGCTTCTGCGTTGCACATTCTCGTTACCTTGACTTCCGTTCGATCATCGTCCAGACGTCGCGCCCCCGTTGGCCTCGTGTAAATACGTGGCTACGGCACTGGCTTTATGGCCTCCCATCGTAAAGATCTGCGGGCCGCTGCGCCACGACGAGATGTAAACACGTTTCCCCGTTGATACCCACCGTGTACGACACACTGCCTACTGCCGGACGCATTTTGTTTCGCGTGCTAATGCAATTTGCCCTCGCTTGATACCATTTTTCTCGCGGGTTACACGATTTTCTACGGGGTGCTAGGGACCGGTCCAGGGGTGGCCTCGGGAAACCGGTGTAATCTCTTAAATCACTCGGTTTTTTGCTGCTGCGCATCTATTTAAATTATTCCATGCATATTCCGATTTTCAATGGTTACATTTACCCTGTACGCGTAGAAATGTAAAATTATGGAATTTATTTCTGTGTAATTTCGCTGGAACACATGCGATCTTTACGTTTGGATTTTCTTGCTGCGCAGTTCAATTATACGCTGCACGATGCGATTCTCGGGTTACATTTACCCCTCGCGCATAGGGGTATGAGAATATTAAATCGAATTCTGTACGACTCGTTCGACTCTTTCGTATTTCGAGTAATGCGTTTATGTTCGAGAAAGTTTCGAGTTTCTTTCGAAAGGATCTCCTGCTTCCACACGTGACTAATGCTGTTCGCGTAATAAGCTGATATCTTGGGGAAACATTGCTTAAGCTGTTTACTCAGCCATAATAATAATTAGTTGTCCATAGCGCGTCGGGAATTGGAGCGAAACGCACGAGATACGTGGGCTTAGTAACAAAAATTCGGATAATCGAACTTTATCCTATTAAAAAAATATTCTAAACGAATGGAGAGATAAAACGATCGTTGAAATATCGCGTGCTTCCTTACTGCAATATTTCAGCGTAAATCACAGGTGTGTGTCAACGTTTCGCAGTTCAATATTCAGTCCAATAATTCATCGAATCTCTTGAAAAGTTCCAATATTTTCGAATATAATTTCATCAATCCTCCCTGGTTTTTATTTGATCGGTGTAATCTCCTCGCCGGACGGACTCGTGTATTTCCCCGCCTAATCCCCTCGAATGCTCGAAATTCTCGATCAGTTACGAGGAGGAAATATTAATGAATCGTTCGAATAATCGTCGAAGAAGTGAAACGAAAGTAATCGTATAAAAAGCAGAGGAGGCGCAGATGCGGATAGCCGAGCTGCGTTTCGACACGGATTGTCGATTCCTGCCGCCCCTCTGTCCGGCCCTCGGAGCGCTCTTCGGGGTCCCGGCTGGTATTTTCTGTCAGTCGACGGCGGGCCGCGGGTCGAGCTGGTCGAGAAAACACGAGGCTCGTGAAACCGAGTCGTCCGACACGCGTGCTCGTTCATTCTCGCGCGTATCCGCGCCGAAACATCGAATTCACACCCTCTGGCCTCGATTTCCTCCATCTTGGGAACGCGTGATGCGAAAACGTTACATATCGCGTCGATCCTCCGAAGAAGAACCTCGAGAATCATCGCGAGAACGATCCGTAGAAACGTCAGAGATCAATGCAAACAAAGTCAGTTTGTAGTACGGTGATTAGATAACGCCTCGGCAGCGTTCATTCATTTCAAAATTCGTGAATGGAGTTAAACGATTTTTCGCTAGCAAACGACTATCATTGATATTCACATGCAAATATAGACATCGAACGGAAAGACACATACGATTCGTGTAAAAGAGTTGTCAAACTGATTGGAGAAGTTGGATAAAATTCCTTTATAGTGAACTCTCCGCCTCGAAGATTGACATCTCGCGGGAAGCTTCTTCATCTTAAGAAAGCGATCGAAGATTCGTCGAGGAAAGTTTCCGTAGACAAAATCCGAGAGAAACTTGCCGAGACAACGAAGATTACGAAATGAATCGGAGCGAAATCTAGCGTTCGATTTTCGTGTTCCGCGTCGGATTCGCATTGGCAATCGCGCCACGGAGTAGAAAGTTGATCGCGCAACGATCGAAAAGAGGGAAAGAAAAAAGGCACGAGCGGCGGCGCGTTTTCTTATTTTCGAGTCGAACACCTGTCAGAATCGGCGTGTTGAAAGGGCCGCTGGCGTGAAAAAGATCCGCGGCGCAAGGGGTGGCTCGCGGCGGAGGCGTCTTCGAGCGGAGATAAGGGAAGCGGTGACCCGGACTGTCAAGGCGCGTATAAAATCGACGATAGCGAAGTCGACAGCCGCCAGTGTCGCGGGAGCCGCGCGCGAGAGAGGACGTGGGTCGTGTACGCCGCCGCGAGGGAGATCCGCACGCGAAAACCGACCGATGATCCCATCGAACGTTGTGCGCTTTGAATGAGAACAGAGGAAGAGGGCAACGGGAGTCTCAAGTAAACGTGTTTTGTGAGCCATGTGTATCTGAGCCGGTGGGCGTGCGGTCGCGAGTGACACGCGGGAGAATTTGAAAGTTTGGAAAGGGGTGGAGCGATTGATCCTGACGGAGGAGATCGTTTAACGAGAACGTGTTACGATCGGGAAGACATTAACGGAAGACGGAATAAATATCTGCAATACTGTAAAGTTCCCTAATTTTCTATAAGAAAGAATACTAAGATCCACGTGAGACGTTCGTATGCGAGAAATAGATACCGAAGAGAGAATTTCTAAGAAATACTGAAAATATTGAAGATTTGACAGAAAATCGGCGACGAAATTAAATTCTTTTCTAAAAAAACAACCTGGCGAGTTTAAAGCCGGAGGATAAAAACGGCAAGAGCCTTTGAGGATTTTTCTAAAGAATTTCAACCCTTCCGTAAGATAATAAATTCCGATCGCGAGATTGAAAAGAGTCGGAGGAAATCAGTTTACCGATATTCTTCGATAAAGGGTAAAAGGGTGTGGCACGTTTCCCGATAATCAGTACACCGTACAGCTGAGAGTGATTCGATCGAGAATCCGCGGGTTCGCCAGCGAAAGGCCCAGAAACGACACCACCATAGATTTCGCAGCGCTGAGGGGTACCGCGAGGGTTGAGCCGAGATGCGTCCGCGATCGAGCGTCGCGAATAGAAGCGGAAAGCCGAGGGAACCTTGAGGGATTCGCGGAAGAGAGACGCGAGTCAGGAAGGGAACGAGGCGGGAGGAGGATCGAAGCGTACAGGGCAACGGAAAGGCGAGAAAACGGCCGAGGAATGCCGTGGATAAAGTGTTTGGGTGGAGGAGGCGGAAACGCCAGAAGAGGCAAACCACTCAGCGTCAGCCAGCCGATCCACCTGCTCGTCAAGGTAAGATTCCCCTCGGTTTTTCCACGGATTATACATTTTTCACCGGCAAACCTGGCGGGGTTTGCGACGACCTATCGAAACGTGCACGGTTCACGAAGGGTTAATGTGAACAATTTTTCATATTTAACATTCAAGGTACTTAAAGCCGGAAATCGTCGTAAAAGAATGGGAATGTTAACGTATTTCCCGACGAGTAAAGTCTTCATTGTTAGTACGATCGAAGGCGTTGATCCACTAAAAGATCGATGCTAATTCTCTTTTATTCCGCTGACCACATGGCCTCTCGATTCGCTATCAATTAACATTCCCTTCTTCTTGATTGCCAAAGGGAGCTCCTCGAGCTGGATCCCGCAGGGATTCTGGCGCGATGGATTATCCTACCGTGCGCTCTTCAACTTTATTAGCGCGATTACGAACCAGTAAATCAGCTTGTACACGCTTATCCACTTCAACCGTCGTCGGTATATTTAGAACTCGACGAATGACGTAAATATCAACTTTGTGTTGCTCGCGCGGGAACGATCTCGAAGCGTCGGGATTAATTATCAATTAAGAGATCGCTGCTGACCACGGCGCGGCGTTAGTTCATTCACGATTATTTTTATCCGTGGATAAAGAATCGTGTTAATGAATCAGTGCGAATGACGGACGGGAGAATATCTAACGGGGCGCAATCGCTGCGAGTCGAGATTTATCTGCCCGGCGATACACTGAACCGTCTCCAACGAGAATCGTGTGTTCTAAGGTCAACTCTCTCGGCTCCGGTGATAAGTCGCTGATAACTGACACTCGTCTTTGTACCCCCGGTCTAATTGTCCCGAGCTTAGATCTTCGACCGAGATTCTACAGATCGTACTGGCCGGGGACGTAGATAAAGAAAATTAGATGTCGTGGACAGATGGCTGACGATGGAAAACGTTTGAGAGGGGATTAATTAGCCTCTCTGTGGAAAACCGTAAATCAACTCTGCTTAATAGAAAAACGATAAACGCTTGTCCATCACAATAGAAGTATTCCACCGTTTTCCTCGATCTTTGAAGGATCAGGATAAGATAAAGATTATTCCATTTAAAGTCAAGATAATAGACGTGATTTATAGCAGAATTTAGAGACCTACAAAGTTATTTTTATACGGAGGCCGTGTAGGAACGTGTGTTCAGCTTCCTACATTTTGAGATAGTATCATAAGATTCTCAGAGTTCATAAATTCCTCAAATAGCCGCGAACTTTACGCGGTGAATGAAGTAATAAGAGGATCAAGGTCGTAAAAACCACTCGAAGAAGTTCCCGAGTTCGAACGGCGCGATTTTCACGGACCTATCTATTTTCACATCCCTTTAGCCATCGAGGATCGCGTACGAGTGGGTGTTACTTAACGATTGCGTTAAGAGTGGCCGGTGGGAAAGATAACGAGCAGGTAAGGCGGCGCTTTATTATCAGTTTAATTGGTGGGTCGCGGCTAGGTATCGTCGAATCGACACACAGGGCCGCGGAACGGGCAGAAACGGGGCCTCTGACGTGGGGAAATTAATAAATCAGTCAGCCTCCGTGGAAGGTCCAACCTTGGCGCCCCTTCGTCATCCCGAGATTTCGTATCTGCTGGCTTCATAGCATTCCAGGGTGAAAGAAACGCCTAATAATCGTTTTAACTGTTGAAACTTTCCTCCTCGGTTCTTTTTCTGTGGATCTTTATCCTGCCTTTCTCCCCCGCCCTTCCGAAACTTTGTTTCCCGGCGCAGAAACGCTTTATTAAATTCTGGGACCGAAACTCGGCCGTATAATTCTATTTGATTTGTGCCCTCGTCTGAGATTTATACCGCGATAGACAGTGCACACCCTATATAATTAAACGCATACATCTAATTCTCCATACTAATCTATTCTAATATTCACTCAGAACTACTCCCCGAATTTAACATAATCTCAACTCAAAACGAATTTCCCCGCTGAACATCGTGTCACAATAAATTACCCTAGATTACGCCCAGGGGGAAAGGCTCTCGATTTTCTTCTCCGAGCTAACTTCGCTGAAGTTCTCGAAAAATAACCCGGCAAACAAGAAGGAAGTTTCCGCGTCGCGAAGTGCCTGCGGACAATACCTCGAGATTCGACTATTCGCATAACGAAAATTGAAGATTACCAATCTGTCGCTAAGTGTCCGTGCTATACAAAATGATGCTCATTCCAAAAATAACAATTCTACGGAAATAAATCCCGTTTCTCTATTCATATAACATTAGAATCGAAACACGAAATACCCATTACCACCCAAAAAACCTCATAATATCCCCATAATGTAGGAAAAACATAATTACCGTGTGTTCACCTCTATATCTTACAACTGTTCTCTGAAGCATTTGTTTTGTATCATTGATACTTCTCGAATCGTTGAGTTTTGCCCAGCAAACAGGCGTTTGACCGCGCCGCGCGCTGCTCCTTCGCCGGTTGGATCGGTTCTTATTAGAAGTTTATTTAAATTCCACTTAGGTATGCGTGTCCGGCGCAGCACGGTAATTCGCGGACGCGCGTTTATGTCGTTTTTATAGGACACGGAACGGCACCTGGAATGGCCACCGTATTCATTCCGCGGAATATCGTATCGCGTCCTAAGTGGCGCTTTAATGAAATCGCCGCGGCGCGCCGCCGCGGGTGGTATAGGCCCTCTCGCTATTATTTAATTGCGCGCCGCTATTAACGCGCGATTTTTCTCCGGGCTCGTTCGCCTAACGATCCCTACGATTCGACCTACCGCTACCTGGAACCTCGGCCGAGACCCCTACGAGCCCGGCGAGCCTGACTTTAGATCCTCGTGAGAGACGCTCTTTGATAATTACGCGCGTCTGTGTCCAATCAGAGGACGCTGACGACGGGGAATTATTTTGACGTGCACGATAACGATCGGAATGCGAAAAATGCATGCCGATGACGGCCGGTTTGATTTAGATTAGTTCACCCGTGCATAAACTGCATGCACGGATGATTGCAATAAGAAACACCAACGGAATAAATGATATTGGATAAAGAGTCGAGTAAATTGCAATTGTTCGTTTGATGGTATGGACAGCTAATTAACTTCGTAGAAAATCTTTGTTACTCGTTGCTTTCGTTGACTCGTTAATGATTCTGTTAATTGGTTTCGCAGTGATCAACGGGCAAGGATGTCGATTAAGCTATGAGGCTGTAAAAACTCCTTTTAGTGCCATTGATAATTTTATTACGCTCTTAAAGTGTCTGTTGTGCTTGTATTTATTCTAATTAATCTAGGTATAACCTGTGTACGTATACCTAGGGTAATTCATTGCTCCATAAAATGCCTAGGGAATTATTGTCACTAGTGAAAGTAATGATTGTGCACCGGAGGACTGCAAGATTATTACGAAACAGGTACTCGATGGCAATTGTTGTAAACAAAGAATTCAAGGGGTTTCATCTCACCATAAACCGCCGTGAACATTGCGCTCGCCATTGTTTGCAACCGCCGACAACCGTTAAAGCGCAAGCCAACATGCTTGATTTCTGCATCGCTTAAATATGGTTTTCTAGGGCGTACTTCTTCTCGCAAACACTTCCACAGGCTCCAGATTTTACAAGGGTTCACGTGCTAAGTTCAAATTTTCAATCACACGATGATTTCGTTACTTTTTTTCGTCTAATCGAAGACCACAAAACAATCTCTTCTCTTAACGTGCGGCCATATTGGTTGTCCAGTCGCGCGGTTCGGCTCGCGCATGCGCGGTGGGGTCACGTGAGCGGTACAGCAATATGGCGGCGTGCTATGAAGAGGTTGCTTTGTGTTCCTCGATTAATTAAAAATGTGGTGGTAATATTGCGTGGAACAAGGTTCAAACTAGTCTCGGTTAATTATCAAGTTATCGGGGACAAGTGGTGAGTGTTTTCAAGAGTTGAAATCCTGGAGAGTCATGTATTTTTGATGAACAAATGTGGAGCATGTTGCTGCACCAAATTGCATAGCCGTTGAAAGTGTGCGCAGGCGCAAAAGGCGAGGATAGGTACTAACGGTTCTTTTATAAAATTGAGATATTAATTTAACTTGTAATAGCTGTATATAATTATACATTAGAAACAGCTTCAACGAAAATATGAAAGAACCATCGATTTAATTAAATAATATAGCGTAATCTATTATACGAAAAATATAAGGTATAGAAATATCAGGTAATTCCATAAGATATATCATCTTTTATCTCACCACAAAGAGACATAGTAAGAACCTATAGAAAACAGAACCAAAACTAATTAGGAAATATAATATACTCACAGAAATAAGCAATTAGGATCACTAGACGTCTATAGTTAGCCAGGACAATTCCAAATTTATAATTACACCAGAATATTATCCACTCACTTCTCTTAACGTTCGGCCATGTCTGGAAGGCTAGTCGCGCGGTTTAGATCGCGCATGCGCCGTGAAGTCACGTGAGCTATAAAGCAATATGGCGGTGTGTTATGAAGGGATGGCTTTGTGCTCTTCGATTAATTAAAAGTGTGGTAGTAATATTGCGTAGAACAAGGTTCAAACTAGTCTCACTTAATTATCAAGTTATAATGAACAAGTGGTGAGTGTTTTCAAGACTTGAAATCCCAGAAAACCATGTATTTTCGCTGAAAAAATGTGGAGCATGTTGCTGCACCAAATGCATAGCCGTTGAAAATGTGCGCAGGCGTAGAAGGCAAGGGTATGTCCTAACGGTTCTTTTAAAAAAATATGGAATATTAATTTATCTTGTAATAACTGTATACAACTATAAATTACAAAGGTCTTCAACGAAAATATAGAAGAACCATCGATCTAATTAAATAATATAGCATAATTTATTTGTTACATCTTTTATTTCACCACAAAGAGACATAGTAAGAACCTATAGAACAAAGAACCAAAACTAATTAGGAAATATAACAGTTACAGAAATAAACAATTAGTATCACCCGTCTATAATTAGCCAGGCCAATCCCAAATCTGTAATTACACCAGAACATTA